TTGCAAGATTTCCAACATCTAGATCTTGTATATCCTTTCAGAAGTATTTCCCACAGATGGAGCTGTTATTTCCAGTATCAGACTGTATCATAGGTTTATTTCCTTGCAAGATTTCCACCTTTTAGGTTATTGCTTTGCCACGTCAGTCACTGCAATCCCCCTAAACCTTTTGCTTCATCAGCCGGGTTTAAACTAAATTCTTAGAGAATTTATTTCCCATACATTAAGAGACGGAACCTCACCTCGCGAAGTGGGATTCAGTCATCCTAGGCCATTGTGTCTAAGATCTTTAAAAGTGTGATGTAATGAACAGGTTAGCCTCTCCTTCATCTTATCAAACCACTTGGCCTGGACAGTAGAGCGACGGTCTCACTTCATGCAGGTCTGTGTTCAATCCCCGACCGTCCAAGTGATTGGGCACCATTCTTTTACCACCGTCCCATCCCAAATCCTTATCCTGACCCCTTCCCAATGCTATATATAGTCGTAATGGCTTGACGCTTTCTCACGGGAGACATCTCCCGTCACGCAGGGTGCAGTCGCACCTCCACAGATCTCCAGTATCAGCTCTTGATACTGGTAATGGCTCAAAAGGGCCACCACTTACGGGCTATTCATGCCCGTGCCACCTTTTGGGTGGCTTAATCTTTATCAATCATCAATGACGCTTTCTCCTGAAAATTCCCTTGCCTTCCATCATGTTATCACGGTATAGTGTGTCTATCTCCTTGTGTTATAGGTCATCCATATATGTCTCGTCCATCTTCTCTACTGTACTGCTGTTATTCTCTTATTTCCTTGCTAATGAAGCTATGTTCCCTCACCTAACCTCTCTTCGTATCCATACATTATTATCCATGTTTTGTCAACATTTCACTAATAAGCGCATCTAGCGGCAACGTTTCATGCAATAAGGGCATCTAGTGGCAATGTTTCATACATTAAGCGCATCTAGCGGCAACGTTTCATGCAATAAGGGCATCTAGCGGCAACGTTTCATGCAATAAGGGCATCTAGCGGCAACGTTTCATACATTAAGCGCATGTAGCGGCAATGTTTCGTACATTAAGCGCATGTAGCGGCAATGTTTCATACATTAAGCGCATGTAGCGGCAATGTTTCATACATTAAGCGCATGTAGCGGCAATGTTTCATACATTAAGCGCATGTAGCGGCAATGTTTCATACATTAAGCGCATGTAGCGGCAATGTTTCATACATTAAGCGCATGTAGCGGCAATGTTTCGTACATTAAGCGCATGTAGCGGCAATGTTTCATACATTAAGCGCATGTAGCGGCAATGTTTCGTACATTAAGCGCATGTAGCGGCAATGTTTCATACATTAAGCGCATGTAGCGGCAATGTTTCGTACATTAAGCGCATGTAGCGGCAATGTTTCGTACATTAAGTGCATGTAGCGGCAATGTTTCGTACATTAAGCGCATGTAGCGGCAACGTTTCATACATTAAGCGCATGTAGCGGCAATGTTTCGTACATTAAGCGCATGTAGCGGCAACGTTTCATACATTAAGCGCATGTAGCGGCAACGTTTCATACATTAAGCGCATGCAGCGGCAATGTTTCATACATTAAGCGCATGTAGCGGCAATGTTTCGTACATTAAGCGCATGTAGCGGCAATGTTTCGTACATTAAGCACATGTAGCGGCAATGTTTCGTACATTAAGCGCATGTAGCGGCAATGTTTCGTACATTAAGCGCATGTAGCGGCAACGTTTCATACATTAAGCGCATGTAGCGGCAATGTTTCGTACATTAAACGCATGTAGCGGCAACGTTTCATACATTAAGCGCATGTAGCGGCAATGTTTCGTACATTAAGCGCATGTAGCGGCAATGTTTCGTACATTAAGCGCATGTAGCGGCAATGTTTCGTACATTAAGCGCATGTAGCGGCAATGTTTCGTACATTAAGCGCATGTAGCGGCAATGTTTCGTACATTAAGTGCATGTAGCGGCAATGTTTCGTACATTAAGCGCATGTAGCGGCAACGTTTCATACATTAAGCGCATGTAGCGGCAATGTTTCGTACATTAAGCGCATGTAGCGGCAACGTTTCATACATTAAGCGCATGTAGCGGCAACGTTTCATACATTAAGCGCATGCAGCGGCAATGTTTCATACATTAAGCGCATGTAGCGGCAATGTTTCGTACATTAAGCGCATGTAGCGGCAATGTTTCGTACATTAAGCACATGTAGCGGCAATGTTTCGTACATTAAGCGCATGTAGCGGCAATGTTTCGTACATTAAGCGCATGTAGCGGCAACGTTTCATACATTAAGCGCATGTAGCGGCAATGTTTCGTACATTAAACGCATGTAGCGGCAACGTTTCATACATTAAGCGCATGTAGCGGCAATGTTTCATACATTAAGCGCATGTAGCGGCAATGTTTCGTACATTAAGCGCATGTAGCGGCAATGTTTCGTACATTAAGCACATGTAGCGGCAATGTTTCATACATTAAGCGCATGTAGCGGCAATGTTTCATACATTAAGCGCATGTAGCGGCAATGTTTCGTACATTAAGCGCATGTAGCGGCAATGTTTCGTACAGTAAGAGCATGTAGCGGCAATGTTTCGTACAGTAAGCGCATGTAGCGGCAATGTTTCGTACAGTTAGTGCATGTAGCGGCAATGTTTCGTACAGTTAGTGCATGTAGCGGCAATGTTTCGTACAGTAAGCGCATCTAGCGGCAACGAGAGAGAGAGAGAGAGAGAGAGAGAGAGAGAGAGAGAGAGAGAGAGAGAGAGAGAGAGAGAGAGAGAGAGAGAGGGGGGGGGGGGTAAGTAATCGATGGTAATATTATTTTTCAATGATGGTTATTCGCCCGCCAAACCTCCCACCTTATTACATGTGTATGTTATTTTACTGGGAAAATTGGTATTAGCTGCATGATCGTTTTTATTCATCTTGCACAACCCAACTGTAGTGTCCGAGGCTGGGCTCGTCCTCTCCTTTTCTGGCTAAAGAAAGGAAAGTTTAGTGGTCCACCAACAGCTGTCATTCTTCCCGGAGAACACATACACACATGTCAGCTCTTCCACCATAATATGTTACTAAAAAATGGTTTAGCCTTTCCATCTTAACTGAACACACCGACGCGTAGCCTTGCTTAAATTACCTTCAAGAATGTTCAGTCGCCACAGAGAACCTCCGTTTCATGAGCAAATCCACAATGGTCGTGATGAGGGTTCGAACCTCATCACGGCTCTCGTGTATCGCTCAAGGATACACAAGGGATAGTATCCCTCTCACTGCCACATTATCCTTACTAATCCTGTCCGTCTTACGAGAGCTTTCACGAGGTTCGAACCCTTATCACGGCCCTTGTGGATTTGTTCATTTGATTCATCACGCTATTGGGATTTCTGTGTGTAGCTCCGTATCATGTTGACCAGACCACACACTAGAAGTTGACGGGACGACGACGTTTCGGTCCGTCCTGGACCATTCTCAAGTCGATTGAGAATGGTCCATTCTCCGTACCATGTTCATTTAGCAAGTTTTGGCATAGGTAAGTTTTTCGTGTATATGCATTCACTCTCACTTTCCTCCCTGTTATCCCTGAGTCCCTTCTGTAACCTTTATTACTTATATGCCAAGATTCACGTACAAGTTTATGATATAAATTATTTCTTTATATTTCTGTCATATCCAACACTTGGTGAGAAAACGTTTTTCCTTATACAGGGTAGATAAACTGTTTAACACGGGTGGGATACGAACAAGGGGACACAGGTGGAGACTGAGTACCCAAATGAGCCACAGATATGTTGGAAAGATCTTTTTCAGTGTCAGAGTAGTTAACGGGTGGAATGCATTAGGAAGTGATGTGGTGGAGGCTGACTCCATACACAGTTTCAAGTGTAGATATGATAGAGCCCAGTAGGCTCAGGAACCTGTACACCTGTTGATTGACGGTTGAGAGGCGGGACCAAAGAGCCAGAGCTCAACCCCCGCAAGCACAACAAGGTGAGTATGTTCCCGTCCAACCTCCTTACCTACTTATTTAGGTAAGCAAATATCAACACTTTCTCACTCATAAATGAGTGAACATAGTGAACTATTGCACAAATATTCTACCTGCAGGTAATCGTAAAATATGCCCATTGTACCTGTTTTGCAAATATTATTATAAATTATTTTGCATTTAATGTCTATTTTTAAACAGATATTCATCAGAGCAGAAGTTGTTGTTGAAAACATAAGGGAAAACTCTTACTAAACCCAACATACGAGTCATAAATACTCATACTTAAAACAGAAACAAGAAACAAGTAAAACTTAGTGGGCCAGCCAGAGGCTTAGGGCCCGCCCAGTGGGCCAGCCAGAGGCTTAGGGCCCGCCCAGTGGGCCAGCCAGAGGCTTAGGGCCCGCCCAGTGGGCCAGCCAGAGGCTTAGGGCCCGTCCAGTGGGCCAGCCAGAGGCTTAGGGCCCGCCCAGTGGGCCAGCCAGAGGCTTAGGGCCCACCCAGTGGGCCAGCCAGAGGCTTAGGGCCCGCCCAGTGGGCCAACCAGAGGCTTAGGGCCCGCCCAGTGGGCCAGCCAGAGGCTTAGGGCCCGCCCAGTGGGCCAGCCAGAGGCTTAGGGCCCGCCCAGTGGGCCAGCCAGAGGCTTAGGGCCCGCCCAGTGGGCCAGCCAGAGGCCTAGGGCCCGCCCAGTGGGCCAGCCAGAGGCTTAGGGCCCGCCCAGTGGGCCAGCCAGAGGCTTAGGGCCCGCCCAGTGGGCCAGCCAGAGGCTTAGGGCCCGCCCAGTGGGCCAGCCAGAGGCTTAGGGCCCACGCAGGAATATCCCTGCCAAAAAAAAAAAATGCAGAATAGGACAATATTCTTTATATAATGTATAAATACTGTTTATTAGATATACATTAATATTATGTGAGTATGAATATACCACTCAGCTCCTCACCAGGTGAACTAGTAACTAGCCTCCACCACCACCACCATCTAATGCCTCATCTCCTCCCCAGGTGAACGTAGCCGTGGACCTACGAAGCAACAAGATGCCCTTCACTATACCCCGCATGGGCACCAAGGCGGCCCTGGTGCCCATCTCCCTGCCCCTCAGCTGGGACGCCGCCGTACCCAGACTCTGGGAGGTCCGGGCAAGGGTTGATAAGATGAAGGCAAGTAAATACACACTACATATAAGTAAATAAATCAACTCACATACACGAAATGTGTGAAAAGTGAGAAGGTTTTGGGGCCATGGCGGACCAGTTGGTTGTCCGCCTCCTTACTCTGGCTTGCTCGCTGAATTCGCATCACAATGTATGTATCTTTTTCTGTACCTGAAGTTTGGTTGCTGTATCCACACAGGGCTGGTGAAGTCATAGGGAAGCCAAGTCATTCTTGACTAATTTTATTTTGATTTTAACCCGGTCGGGAGGGAGGGAGCCGGTCGGCCAAGCGGACAGCACACTGGACTTGTGATCCTGTGGTCCTGGGTTCGATCCCAGGCGCCGGCGAGAAACAATGGGCAAAGTTTCTTTCACCCTATGCCCCTGTTACCTAGCAGTAAAATAGGTACCTGGGTGTTAGTCAGCTGTCACGGGCTGCTTCCTGGGGGTGGAGGCCTGGTCCAGGACCGGGCCGCGGGGACACTAAAGCCCCGAAATCATCTCAAGATAACCTCAAGATAACCCGAAGAGCGCGTTTTTTGGTAGGGCCATTCATCCTGTGAGTGGACACACCGCCATAGTGACAGTATTGGGCAGCGCCACTCATCCTGTGAGTGGACACACCGCCATAGTGACAGTATTGGGCAGCGTCAATCATCCTGTGAGTGGACACACCGTCATAGTGACAGTATTGGGCAGCGTCACTCATCCTGTGAGTGGACACACCTCCATAGTGACAGTATTGGGCAGCGCCACTCGTCCGCCATAGTGACAGTATTGGGCAGCGCCACTCATCCTGTGAGTGGACACACCGCCATAGTGACAGTATTGGGCAGCGCCACTCATCCTGTGAGTGGACACACCACCATAGTGACAGTATTGGGCAGCGCCACTCATCCTGTGAGTGGACACACCGCCATAGTGACAGTATTGGGCAGCGTCACTCATCCTGTAAGTGGACACACCACCATAGTGACAGTATTGGGCAGCGCCACTCATCCTGTGAGTGGACATACCGCCATAGTGACAGTATTGGGCAGCGCCACTCATCCTGTGAGTGGACACACCGCCATAGTGACAGTATTGGGCAGCGCCACTCATCCTGTGAGTGGACACACCGCCATAGTGACAGTATTGGGCAGCGCCACTCATCCTGTGAGTGGACACACCGCCATAGTGATAGTATTGGGCAGCGCCACTCATCCTGTGAGTGGACACACCGCCATAGTGACAGTATTGGGCAGCGCCACTCGTCCTGTGAGTGGACACACCGCCATAGTGACAGTATTGGGCAGCGCCACTCATCCTGTGAATGGACACACCGCCATAGTGACAGTATTGGGCAGCGCCACTCGTCCTGTGAGTGGACACACCGCCATAGTGACAGTATTGGGCAGCGCCACTCATCCTGTGAGTGGACACACCGCCATAGTGACAGTATTGGGCAGCGTCACTCATCCTGTGAGTGGACACACTGCCATAGTGACAGTATTGGGCAGCGCCACTCATCCTGTGAGTGGACACACCGCCATAGTGACAGTATTGGGCAGCGCCACTCGTCCTGTGAGTGGACACACCGCCATAGTGACAGTATTGGGCAGCGCCACTCATCCTGTGAGTGGACACACCGCCATAGTGACAGTATTGGGCAGCGGCACTCATCCTGTGAGTGGACACACCACCATAGTGACAGTATTGGGCAGCGCCACTCATCCTGTGAGTGGACACACCGCCATAGTGACAGTATTGGGCAGCTTCACTCATCCTGTGTGTGGACACACCGCCATAGTGACAGTATTGGGCAGCGTCACTCATCCTGTGAGTGGACACACCGCCATAGTGACAGTATTGGGCAGCGCCACTCGTCCTGTGAGTGGACACACCGCCATAGTGACAGTATTGGGCAGCGCCACTCATCCTGTGAGTGGACACACCGCCATAGTGACAATATTGGGCAACGCCACTCATCCTGTGAGTGGACACACCGCCATAGTGACAGTATTGGGCAGCGGGACTCATCCTGTGAGTGGACACACCGCCATAGTGACAGTATTGGGCAGCGCCACTCATCCTGTGAGTGGACACACCGCCATAGTGACAGTATTGGGCAGCGGGACTCATCCTGTGAGTGAACACACCGCCATAGTGACAGTATTGGGCAGCGCCACTCATCCTGTGAGTGGACACACCGCCATAGTGACAGTATTGGGCAACGCCACTCATCCTGTGAGTGGACACACCGCCATAGTGACAGTATTGGGCAACGCCACTCATCCTGTGAGTGGACACACCGCCATAGTGACAGTATTGGCACCTCCAAGAGTGAAGTCCTCAGCGCTCAACTAGCCCCACTAGCTAGCACCTCCAAGAGTGAAGTCCTCAGCGCTCAACTAGCCCCACAGGCTAGCACCTCCAAGAGTGAAGTCCTCAGCGCTCAACTAGCCCCACAGGCTAGCACCTCCAAGAGTGAAGTCCTCAGCGCTCAACTAGCCCCACAGGCTAGCACCTCCAAGAGTGAAGTCCTCAGCGCTCAACTAGCCCCACTGGCTAACACCTCCAAGAGTGAAGTCCTCAGCGCTCAACTAGCCCCACTGGCTAGCACCTCCAAGAGTGAAGTCCTCCACGCTCAACTAGCCCCACTGGCTAGCACCTCCAAGAGTGAAGTCCTCAGCGCTCAACTAGCCCCACAGGCTAGCACCTCCAAGAGTGAAGTCCTCAGCGCTCAACTAGCCCCACAGGCTAGCACCTCCAGGAGTGAAGTCCTCAGCGCTCAACTAGCCCCACAGGCTAGCACCTCCAAGACTGAAGTCCTCAGCGCTCAACTAACCCCACTGGCTAGCACCTCCAAGAGTGAAGTCCTCAGCGCTCAACTAGCCCCACAGGCTAGCACCTCCGGGTCGACCAAAGTACTCTTCCACTCTCCCTCCTTCCCTGACGTCCATCGCCTGTCCCTGGTGGGTGGTCACCTTCCAACACACCAGACTAGAAGATGGGGAACTGCGATTAATGGGAGGGTTAACTCCTGTAGTTCGGCAGCTGGATCGTAGATGGCGCCGTCACATCCGCATATCCCTCTCAAGTACTATATAGTCATAATGGTTAGTGTTTTCTTATGATAATTACCTAACATTGCAGGTGCAGAGTGTGGGAAGCTTCTAAGAGCAGCATCTGTATTTAGCAGAAACTGTTTTCTTAAACTCAAACAATGTGGGGATTGTTTATAGTACTCATATTTCTATTGTCTCTTAGGTGGCAACCCGTTCTCGCAAATTTAATAAGTCAATATTGACTTATTAAATATGTGCATAGGTGACATACTTAACATAATAGTTTCCCTTGAAAAGCTTCATAGAAAACACCGACCTTACCTAACCTACTTAGTATGTTAAGATAAGCATCTTATTGCTTCGTAATTACAATTATTACCTAACCTATAATAGGTATAGGTTAAGTAATAATTGTAATTACGAAGCAATAAGATGCTTATCTTAAGATACTAACAAGGTTAGGTAAGGTCGGTGTTTTCTATGAATCTTTTTAAGGGTATCTATTATGTTTAGTATATTACCTATGCACGTAGTTATTTTGCGAGAACGGGTTGCAGGTGGGCACAGTCCCTCATGTCCAGACAATGTCCTTCATTTATGCTGCACATTCTCCAACTTTGCTCCTCTGCTGTTGTTTCCATTCCGACGCTCCATGGGTTCTTTTAACTTAGAACAATTCTTGCAATTGGCGACTGGCTTTTTAAGCCATCTTGAAGAATGTGAGTTGTGGGGTGTGCCTGCAGTGTACACATCCACTTGCTCCTCTACCTTGTCACGGTGATGTTGTCTCATTATATCCCTCATTTGTTGACCAGACCACACACTAGAAAGTGAAGGGACGACGACGACGTTTCGGTCCGTCCTGGACCATTCTCAAGTCTATTGTGTCACACAATCGACTTGAATGGTCCAGGACGGACCGAAACGTGGTCGTCGTCCCTTCACCTTCAAGTGTGTGGTCTGGTCAACATACTTTAGCCACGTTATTGTGACTCGTCGCCTGCATCCCTCATTTGTAACTCGTCTTGGGGCTTAGATTTAATCCCCATAGTTTGTTAATGTAAGTTTAAACTGAGTGTTTTGCTCTGAGCTGAATACTAAAACAATTCATAAATATATTATATAAACAATTATATAAGGATTATATAATTATATAAGGATCATTATTTAAGTGTAAGTGATCATGAATAAAATATGTGAGTGCTAACTTGTGAAAAGTTCACAAGGTTATATAAAGGGTCACGCCATCGTTATGAAAGGTCCCTTAGGGGATGGGGAAATGAAGCTAGGATTAGGATAAGTAATCATGCCAGGTCATCTAGTTTCCAACAGAGGTCGTGTGGGACGAGGAAACCTCCCTCGGAATTAGAGAATTCTGGAGCATATCATTTTGTGGTGTGTCCTCCTGCGTTTTTTTTTTTTATTATGCACCCCATACCCATCCCGTGGGCGGTGGTGTAAAGAATTACAGAAGCACATAATCGGTTCAGGAACTGAACCCTCTAGTTCGTTTAGCTAAGCAAATAACAATCTTTTGACGCTAATTACAAAATTAGTAATGTTATATATACATGTACACATACTCATACATACATGTACATATATATACGTATACATATATACATACGCATACATATTTAATCATATTCGCAGATCAATATAACGCTACTGGGCCCCGCTGTGAGACCCACACTCACCTTCACCCCACCATCAAGGAATATTTTATTTTCGTCAGGATAAATCAGTTTATATGATAAAGTTCATGTTAGGTTTTATCTGAGTTTTATTTAATATTTTTGGGAAGCAAAATGGTGCCTGGTAGAGCTGTGATGTTACATTAGCCGCGTGACAGACATTCCTGTCTGTATGACACGTGACAGACACCATCAGTGGCTCCATCTTCTGGTCATTTAGAATTCAGCAACAAATTTTCTGAAGCTTGGAGTGCATTATCCTCAA